ATGTCGTGGTCGGGCGGCACCAGAGCGATGTCGAGGTGATCAAAGAGGCCTGCGCGCAAAGGTCCGCACCAAATCAGAGCGCCGCCGGTGCTGTGAACAAGCGTGCTGTGAACAAGCTTGCTGTGAACAAGCTAGCTGTGAACAAGCGGTGCTGTGAACAAGCTAGCTGTGAACAAGTTAGCTTTCAACTCAATTCCAGCCGGGGCGGGCCGGCGGGCGGCGCTGCCTGCCAGCTCGGGGGCGCGGTGGAGGTTCGTCATGCTCGCGCCGAAACGCGCGCGGAGCTGCTCCAGCAGCGCGGGCGCCAGTCTCGCTCGCGCCTCGTCCGGCGAGAAGTCCGCCCTGCCGCCGCCCCCCGCCTATAATCTCGGGTAATCTCGGGTAATCTCGGGTAATCTCGAGAAGTTGGCCCTGCCGCCGCCCCCCGCCGGCGGTGCGTACGGCGAACGCGGCGGCAGCGGCGAGCGGCGGTGCCGTTCGAGCAAGGCTGCCTCGACCCTCTCCAGCGCGAGGTCGAGGGTGGAGTAGGACTCGAACCGCTCAAACTCGGACCACCGGCCGGCCTCCCCTTCCGACAGGAGCGGGGCGTGCCGGCCGAGGGCGGCGAGGCAGGTCGAGTTGGCGCCTGCCACGAGCAGCCGCGCGGCGGGGCAGAGGCTCGCCGCCTCGAAGAGGGCGCTGACCGAAGTCGCGTCGACGGCAGGGCACTGCGCAAAGTCGAGGACGAGGTAGCCGAGCTCGAGCTGCTCACCGTCGTGGAGGCAGCCGCCGAGGCGGCGCAGGTGCTCGTCAACAACCTAGACACACGCGCGAGGGGAGTGTGAGGCACGATCCGCACACGAGCCGCTGGACTGCCGCTCCCCTCCTCCTCACCTCGACCAGCGACGCGCACGAGCCGAAGTAGAGCACGCCGAAGAGGTGCACGACCAGCGCCGACGCGCCGACGGCGTCGAGCAGCCGCGCGTCCTCCGCCGGCCTCGCCTACCCTCCGGGCCAGAACGAGCTGACGACGCCGGGATCGGACAGCCGTGCGCCCTCTCGGCCGACCGCGCCACGTTCGAGCGCTCGAGCGAGGAGGTCGCGGTTTGCAGCACGCCGGAGTGCGCAGAGTACTCGAGCACGAAGAGAGCGGCGGTGAGGAGGACCCCGAGGAGCACCGCCGGCGCCATGCCAACGGACGCCGTGGTGGCGACATGCAGCAGCACGAGGGAGAAGTGGGTCGGCGGGAGGCGCACCTACCAGTCGTGAAAACAAGAGTGGTGAGATTGATCAGGGCTGGGGGGGGGGGGAGGGGGGGAGGGGAGGGCGCCCCGGGGACCCCGGGGGGGGGGGGGGGCCGGGGACCCAGCAGTGGGGGTTGGGCCTCGGAGAACCTCGGCGCATCTCGGACACTCTCGGCTCGTCTCGCGCCCAAGCGTCGGAGAGAGTGTCGGCGAGGAGGTCGAGGCCGTTGTGCGCGACGATGGCGGCGAGGGCGACGGCGGGGAGGGCGGTGACGGGCCGCAGACCCGAGGCGAGCAGCAGGAGCGGCAGGAACGCGCACGCGGCGGGGAGGTGCAGGCTGCGCGTGGCGCCGAGGGAGTGCGCGGTCGCCGTCACGGGGTAGTTTGGCGTCGCCGTCGCGCCAAAGGGCGACGCGAGGAGCTGCGCCACCCCCATCGCCTACCCCCTCGGGTGGCGTCGTCGCTCTCTCGGGCCCTCTCGAGCGAGGAGCGGCGCCGCCCCTCCACGCGCCCGCAGCTCCGTGTCGATGTCGAAGCGCCAGGAGAGGCGCCGCCTGAGAGAGAGGGAGAGAGAGCCGAGATGCGTGCGAGAGTTGCGTCCGACAGGCTCAGCGGCAGAGAATCAGGTGCGCTCGGCGCCGCATCGCGGAGTACGCCATCATCCGCCCGGCAACCTAATCTCGGGTCATCTCGGGTCATCTCGGGTCATCTCGGGTCATCTCGCGGCAGCCTGTGTGTGCACAAGGCGAGGCTGTGAATCGTGTACGGTCCCTTTGCACTCTCGCGTCCGCGGCAGCACACGAGCTACGACCGCGATGCGTCGGGGAGTGACACCGCAAACCATGAGACCGCCGACCGCATCGTAGACGACCGCATCGTGTGGAGCGGGACGGCGCGGGCTCGCCATCTAAGGCGCGGCACCATGGGGAGGGCCGCCACCGCAGCTGTCACCGCCCCGTCCCGCGCAGCCGACGCCAGGCGGACATCGCCGAGCGAGAGGGCGGCCGGCAGCGAGGAGAGCCGAAAGGCGGGCACGTCGAGGGCCCACCCGTCCACGTCGACCGAGGCGAGGGGGAGGAGGAGGAGCACGGCAGCAGCGAGAGCGGCGGTCGCGGGCACGAGGGCCACACGCGCTGAGCCGATGAGCCTGCGCCCGGCGACAGTGAGCAAGACGCCGAGCGCGGTGCCTAGTCTGGGGCGGTCTCGGCTGGCCTCGGCTGACCTCGGCTGATGTGGAGCCAGGCGACTGGCGCAAGCGCCGAGGGCGAGCTGAGCCCGTGCGGCGGCGGGCGCCCGCCAGACCGACAGCGGGTCGAGCAGCGAGCAGCCGACGACCTCATCTCGGGAGATCTCGTGGTTAGATGTGGTATGGGGTGCGTCAGCCACCCGTGCCCATGGACACGAGCCCATGGACACGAGCTGGCCAGCTCATGGGCGCCTCGACCCATACATCTTATCGGCCCAATCTCGCCCCAATCTCGCCCCAATCTCGTCCCAATCTCGTCCCAATCTCGTCCCAATCTCGTCCCAATCTCGTCCCAATCTCGTCCCAATCTCGGTGCCATCTCGGCCTTCGAGCTCGAGTCGACGAGGATGAGCCCGACAGAGGCCAAGTACCCGAGGGAGACCGGCTCGGGCAGATGTCGCACGATCCGCCCACCGCGCAGTGTCGCGCTGGCGAGGTAGACGGCGGCGGTGACGAGCTGGAAGGTGGCGAGAGAGACGAAAAGGTGGCCTGATACCGGGTTCTCGGGGTGATCTCGGGTGATCTGGAAGGTGGAGAGAGAGAGAGAAGAGAGAGAGAGAGAGAAGAGAGAGAGAGAGAGAGAGAGAGAGAGAGAGAGAGAGAGAGAGAGAGAGAGAGAAGAGAGAGCCAGGTGACCGAGAGGGCTCGGGCAGTCGGCGGCGAGCAGCCGCGCCGCGAGGGGAGAAAAGAGCGCGGCGGCGAACGAGTCGGCGCACGCGACCAGCGCAAGACGGCTGAGCCAGCACAGGAGGAGCTGAAGAGCGCACGAGGAGAGGAGGCACAGCGCCATCGCGACGGCTACCGCCTCACCAGGCAGCGGACCGGCCATGACTTTGGCGCAGGCGATGCTCTGCACGGCTGCGAGGCAGGCCGCCACGAGCGCGCCTCCGAGCCCGGCGAATCGCTGAGGTGGCTCGTTGGATGAAGTCGCGCCATCAATCTCGATCTTGCCGTCGCCGCTGTCGCTCCTCGCTCCAGGAGGCAGGAGCCGCTGGAAGAGCATACGCCGGAGGAAAACTCGGCGTAGATCTACGTTGCCGAGAAGCGATCAGAGGCGGCCGGCCCTCCCCGGAGGCAACGCGACCTTCCTGGCAGCTCCTTCCTGGCTGCTCGTTCTCAGCGCAGCGCTCTTGCATTCACACCCGCACAGCACCCTGAGGTATTTTTATGTTCCCCCACCCGGGTGGGGGAATTTTATATTTAGCAATATGAGCCGCCGTCCCCACTCGAACTCGAGTCCGCCGACCGCTATAGGTCGAGCGGGGAGAGAGGCGCTGCCTCCACGGCGGGGACGGAGGCGACACCTCCGTCCCCACCGCCATTGGTTCGAGCGGCAAGCCTTAGGTAGAGCGGGGACGGAGACGTGGAAAAGCGTGCTTGTGAGTGGAAGCCACAAGCGCGCTGGCTCCGGTCGTTTGTAAATGACGGTGTTTTTCTGTGTGTGTGTTTTCTTGAAGCCTTTCTTAAACTGGGTAACGAACCCCTGTCACTCCGTGAAGTGAACAGAAGAGAGGTGTGAACAGACTGGCGTGCTGATCGTGAAGAGGCGCCATGTCATCGGACACCGAGAGCACGGTCTGCGACCCGCGGTTAGAGGTCGCACCCGAGCCGCAAGTCCCCAAGGGGCCGGGCCAGATAAGGCGCGTGCCCCAGCTGTTCACAGCAACAGCACGGTCTACCCCTGTCGTCCCACCCCAAGTGCAGCAGCTTGGTAGCGGCGGATGGGACGCCAAGAAGAAGGCCGAGTGCCCCAAGTCGCCATTCCTTGGCCACAACTCGGCCTGGCTGAACGAGCTCGCCGACATCCCGATCGGATCGGCCCTGAGGTATTTTTATGTTCCCCCACCCGGGTGGGGGAATTTTATATTTAGCAATATGAGCCGCCGTCCCCACTCGAACTCGAGTCCGCCGACCGCTATAGGTCGAGCGGGGAGAGAGGCGCTGCCTCCACGGCGGGGACGGAGGCGACACCTCCGTCCCCACCGCCATTGGTTCGAGCGGCAAGCCTTAGGTAGAGCGGGGACGGAGACGTGGAAAAGCGTGCTTGTGAGTGGAAGCCACAAGCGCGCTGGCTCCGGTCGTTTGTAAATGACGGTGTTTTTCTGTGTGTGTGTTTTCTTGAAGCCTTTCTTAAACTGGGTAACGAACCCCTGTCACTCCGTGAAGTGAACAGAAGAGAGGTGTGAACAGACTGGCGTGCTGATCGTGAAGAGGCGCCATGTCATCGGACACCGAGAGCACGGTCTGCGACCCGCGGTTAGAGGTCGCACCCGAGCCGCAAGTCCCCAAGGGGCCGGGCCAGATAAGGCGCGTGCCCCAGCTGTTCACAGCAACAGCACGGTCTACCCCTGTCGTCCCACCCCAAGTGCAGCAGCCTGGCAGCTTCCTCAACTCGCGGGGCTGGACCCGGGCGAGTAGAGCCCCGCCCACCCAGGGTACCCTCTCCGAGGACCTGCCGAGGACCCATTGTGAATTTCGAAGACGACGACGGTGCTCTGCTCCGAGAGACCTCGGAGAGCGTGCCTAGGAGCATGCTAATCACCGACGTGGTGACGCCGGCGCTCGTGCTCGACCTGGCCCGAACGCAGCGCAATGCCGCGGCGATGGTGGCGGCGGTGGGGGGCAGAGCGGCTATTCGCACCCACGGAAAGGCTCTGAAGAGCAGCGCCCTCGCCCGCTACCTCGGGCTCAAGCATGTGTGCGCGCAGACTGTGGTCGAGGCGGAGTGCATGGTGCGAGGTGGCTGCACTGACGTGCTCCTCACCAACCAACTGGTTGGCAAGGACAAGCTGCACCGGCTCGCTCTACTGGCGGCGACGCCCTCGCTCAGGTTGGGTGTCCTTGTAGACTCCCGCTGCCAGATCGAGGCGCTCTCCGCGGCGGCGGAGACGAGAGGGGTGGAGATCGACGCCTACGTCGAGGTGGACGCCGGCCAGAACCGCTGCGGCGTATCTGCGCCCGAGGCGGCCCTCGCTCTCGCGTCGGCAATCAGCGCGTCTGGCCGGCTTCGGTTCGGAGGGCTGCACTGCTACCACGGAGGGATCCAGCATGTGCGCTCGGCGGAGGAGAGGCGGCGGCGAGTCCTCGAGGGGCCGGTGGCGCGCGCCGCCGCCGCCGCCGCCCTCCTGAGGCGCGGAGGCTGTATCAGTGCGCTTCCTTCCCAGCCCCTCGGCCTCCGACCGCACCGAAGGCAACACTGAGGAGGTCCTCGTGGTAGAACTCAAACCACTGCTGCGTTGAAGTTGACCGTTCCGCCTCCCTCCCGGAGGCGCCACTCGATCGACGTGCCTTGCGTCACCGGAGGAGGCACCGGCACCTTCCCGTACGAGCTCGAGGGAGGCGTCCACACCGAGCTGCAGCCTGGCGCTAGACTAGCCGAGATGCCGCCGAGATCTGCACAGCTCAGCTGGAGATCGGCTGATACATATGCAGAGATCCACCGAGGTCCGCGCAGCTCGTCTAGACAAGTCCGAGACAAGTCCGAGACACGTCCGAGACACGTCCCCCCGCAGGCTCGTATCTCTTCATGGACGGTGACTATGGCCAGAACGAGCCCTTCCCGCCCGCCGCCCGCGGCGCCGCCTTCGCGCAGAGCCTCTTCGTGCAGACGGCGGTGATCTCCGCTAATGACGCCGCCGGCCGCCGCCGGGTCGGCGCCACGCACCTCCTCCGGGCCGGGCCGTCTCTGGACCGTGCATGGAGCTCCCTCTAGGCCGCCGCGTTGTCGACGCCGGCACCAAGGCGATCGACTTGCTGTCGGGTGCCCCGTCTGTCGTCGGCCACCCGCCCGGCTTGGGGTGAGGGAGTGGTGAGACGGGAGCTCGCCACGCGCCCGGCTGTGAGCAGGCCCGGCCGCCCCCGCCTCGCGTCATCGTCGTGGATGGACATGTCATGGACGTGTCATCGCTGTGAGCAGGCCACCCAAACCTCGAGTACCGCGCCGGAGGGGACGAGCACGGCATCTTGCATGGCGTGGCGGCAGGCGGCCCGAGGGTCCGGTGCTGCCGGCACGCGACACGTCCACGACATGTCCACGTCACGCGCAGGCGCTTTGCCGGTCGGGTCGGTGCTGCGGCTCGTCCCGTCCCACTGCGACCCGACGGTGAACTTGCACGCTGAGTTCGTCGGCTACGAGGGCCGCCGCAACAGCGCTACACGTCCTAGACACGAGATACGTCCGAGATTTGAGCGAGGTCCCACCTGAGGGATAGGCGAAGCCGTGCGGCAGCGCTTCCCGATCGACGCGCGCGCCTCCTGGTGAGTCATAAGTGAAAATTAATGTCCGGACACTTCGCTAGAGAGGTGGGTACAAAGGAGCGGGCCCCCGCCCATGCGGTTCTTGTGTAGAGCTAAGGTGGGAGTGGTCGGCAACGGGGTCGTCCTTGCGACAGGGATAGCACTAGCTCCGTCCTCCACGTTGTCCCTCGGGTCCCTGCTGCTACTCCTCCTAAATAAATAAATAAAACGGACAGTATTCTCGTTTTTGATCAACCCCGCGATGCTCGAATGCGCCACGCATCGGTGTCGCCCCTCATCGCAAACCCTGTCAGCAGTCTTCCACCTGCGTGCGGGCATGTTCGTAAGCACCTCTCCCCTTTCTCCTACGCATTAATTAATTAAGCTAAAAGTACACCGACTGAAAAAAGTGGTGGCGAGTGCCCACAACCCGTACGAACGAACGAAGGCCAATTTGCTTCCCCAAGAAAGAAACACGCCAACCAGCGCAGGCACGAATGCACGTAATTCATTTCGAGGGGTCCCGTACCACGCGGAATCGACCCTATCCAGTGCTCAATTCATTTTGCTTCAATGAAACAACTCTTGAAAGCCCCCCTTCTGTTTAGCGGCGAGGCGACGAGGCTCGACCCGGCGCTGGTGGCGGCCGCCGACGCGTCCGCGCGCTCCGAGGAGGAAAAGGCAGTCGCATAGCCGCGCTCGTCTGCGCGCAAAAGCTCGAGTCGTTCAGGTTACAAAGCGAATCAGGCCGCTAGGTTTTGTGCTCTTAGTGCGAGTGTGGCCGTACGTATGCGGACGGCGCTCTCTATCTCTCTTTTTATATGTGGTACGTAACCACGTCGCGAGCACGCTTGAGCCTGGGAGCTGGGTGGCTGTGCCCTGTGCGGTCGGGGGGGCGGGCGGCGCGCCGGGACGGCTTGCACACATATTCATATAGGGTTGTTGCACGAGTATATGGGCCACGATGTCTCAAATATGAGGGGTTTTGACTCCTACCGGCTCCTGACGCTATCCCTGGCAGCTCTAATGACCAGGATCAGTAGTGTTGCTGTGATAGAGGGGGTGCCCATACTAGCGCAGGAGCTGCCACACTCGCCCGGACCGTCCCCTTCTGGGGCCGGTTCCGCAGCCCGCGAGAGCCGACAGCGGGGCCGTGCCGCGGGTGCCTACAGTGCCACAAACACTGCGCCGTCCCGCCATCACCTACAGGCTGTCTTGTGTGATGGTTGGGATGTCCAAACGCCACCAACTTGGCTCTTGCGACCTCAAACCCGCGAGCTGTATGGGTGGTCCTGACGTCGACAGACGCCCGATGACCACGGTGAAGCTGAGCCGGAACGAGTCGACAAGTCTCGTCTGAGCCCGTGGTGGTCGCCAGCTGAGTCGCTGTGCACGGGCCGGTACCTCAGGCGTCACCTCCGCAGCCTCAGGTCTCACACTCCACCACCTCCGCCAGGACGCCTTCGGTGGCACGCTCGGCGGCGAGTTTGTGGCAGCTCCATCTCGAACTGGTTGGGTAGTAGTCTAAGTTCTGAGCCTCGAGGCTGGACGGGTCTAAGTGTGGCTAGCCACGCTGGAGTGCTTGCGCGGTCTAAGATCAGCGGGAGCCTCTTACATCGGCTAAGTCGGCCGTGGCACGGCCTGGGGCCAGGAGGCTCCCACCGTGATCAACGTACAACGATACGGCGCAGCCCCCAAATTTTCTTCGCCTGCGGCGGGCGATCGATCCTCTTCATGCTTAGCAATCGCCGCTTCAGCATCCTCCTCTTTCGACTTTCGACGTTGCTGCTCCTTCATTCTTGAGCGACGTCTAGCCAAACAGTTCTCACATGACACGAAGCTCCTCAAGCTTAATCAAATGCGTGACGGTGAAGGCGTGAAGCCTGTGTGTGCTGGTCCTCTTTGAACGATCCGCGCGTGAGGTAGCATAGGGCCTTGTTGGCAGCAGCCAGCTTGTTGCTCTGCTTCGTTGCGATGAGCTGATTGGGATCGCAGAAGTGCATGCCAAGCACCGCCACGATCTTGAAGCAGAACACATCGCAACCGCATCGTCCGCACTGCCATCGGCATGCCGCGCCCGCCGCTTCGCCGCAGCCGCCTTAAGGCACGCATAGCGGCAGCACATGGTGGGGGGGGTACTTGAGCAGGCGTTGCGCGCCGCAAGTAGCGCACTGGCCCTGGGAGAAGGCGATATGGCGTCGTGCGCGGCATACGTTGGTCGGGACGCGTCCAGGTATTTCGGGTAAACCTGGAGGCTTTTCAGGTATACCCGGGTTTTGCCCGGAGTTGGCCTTATGTCGTCTAAGTTCGTGGCCCCCGACCATACAGCGTCTAAGTCCGAGCCCGGCTCCGTGTGGGGGCTAAGTTGAGCGCTCGCTCGCTGCAGAGGCTAAGTGTAGAGCGACCCTCTAGCCCTACTACCCAACCATTCATCTCGAGTACGGCGTCGAGCCTGCTCACTCCTGTTGGATCTGTGCACTCCCTGGGTTGAGTTGAGGAAATCGGGGGACGCGACCCACTTCGCCACAGACGGTCCCGCGCCTCGCCGCTATGACGGCGACACGGCCGCAGCTCGTGTGCGTGTCGCCGTCTTTGTCCGGAGTGAAAAGTCCAACGCGCTCGTCGGTGACGGCTTCCCCCGATTTCGCCGCGCTCGGCGAACCTCGACAGCGCCTTCGGTGGCATGCAGCTCTTTGCGCCTGAAGCCTGGAGTGAAGCTCCCCTGCTGCTCACACGCTCTGCACAGTTGGCACAGCCTACTGTGCGGCTGCCACAGCTGTCACAGCGATGGGATCACCCTCACTGGCCCTCAGTCACTTGTGCTGCGGCTTGTGTGAGCGACACTGCTCGGCGACTGCCGGCACACTGTGAGACCATGGGTGTGAGGTTAAACCACGCTACCAGCGCTTGGTCACATCGGCCCTGAGGTCAGATCCGTCTCCTCTCGCTCTGTTCGTGATGACAAGACTAGTCTAAAGTACTGGCTGGAGCCGAGCAGGACGCAGGAGGGCCTGCGCCTGGCGCACAACCCCTGGTCAACTGAGGGTCCTTCCCCTTTACATACTCGCGCAACAACCCTATAGGGGCTCGGGAAGATGCCTAATTTTTATCCTCAAGCAAGCCAGAAAGCGCACACTCCGTCGAGCAGACATCAGTAGACAGTACGTGTCGAGGTTCAGGTTGCGGTGGATTGACTGTGTTACCGTTGCTGCCGCGCGGCGTCGCGCGTCAGTCGGCGGGCTCGGCGCGCAGCTGCCGGATCTCCTCCTCCATCTCGATCCTCCGCCTCGAGGCGGCGCGCAGCTCCTGGAGGGGAGAATCGGCGACTACTCATCAGCCAGTAGCCGCGCCGCTCCTGGCAGGGAAGCTGGTGGGGAAGAGAGCGACTCGGTCACTCCTCGGTCACTCCTCGGTCACTCCCCGGTCACTCGCTAGCCGCGCCGCTGCATGATGCGTGCCGTGTGTGGCTACCCCCACCCCGTCGCTCCTGCGTGATGCGCTCGTAGCACGCCTTCATCTCCGCCTCCTGCGGCTCCTACTCCACCACAACCACCTCCTAAGCAGCTGTCTCGCGGACCAGGACTCCCCCTCTCCGCGGCGCCGGCTCGAAGGTGCAGAACCACTTCGCGTGCCTAAACAAGAAAAGGCAAGAGGCATTCAGAAGGGAGGTTGGCAGAGGAGGCCGCTCCGCCACTCTGCCCGCTTGCTGCTTCGCCACCCCTTTTCGGGCGCATGCTTGTCCGCCTGTGGTGACACGAGGTGACCCGAGGTGACCCGAGATGGGACCGAAGTGACCCGAGAGGACCCGAGGTGACCCGAGAGGAGCCGAGAGTAGCCGAGAGGAGCCGAGAGGAGCCCGAGAGGAGCAGCCGAGAGTACCCGAGAGGACCCGAGAGGACCCAAGAGCACCCGCGAACTTGTCCGCCGTCAGCCTCGGCCAGCCTCGGCCAGCCTCGGATCTCGGCAAGACTGCTCCCGACTCCCTGCTGCCGACTGAATGCTGCCCAACTCTTGTCTGCTGGACTCAGCTACTCACTGCTACCGGACTCAGCTGCTACTGGAGGGCCTCACTGCTACTGGAGGGCCTCGGACAGCCTTGCGCGCAGCTCTGCCGACGGCTCCGCCCACACAATCTCGTCGTACCTGCTCACCACGCGTGACCACCCCTCAGACCTCCTCTCGCCAACACAAGTCTCTCGCCCGGCGAGGCCTCGGCTGTCTGCGTGTGCTCTCGGGGCTGCGCTTTTGCCCCCGGGGGCTGCGCTTTTGCGGGAAGAGCAGCCGTGCCCGGGGGGCTCTCGGCGGCGGTGATCGCGGCTCATCTCGGCTCATCTCGTTCCATCTCCGGCTCATCTCGGCTCATCTCGGCTCCTCTCGGCTGATCTCTCGCTTCTCCGCGACGACAGGTCGGTCGATGGAGAGCTCACGCGCCGGCGAGCCAGCAACCTGCTCACCGCTGGAGGTGTGAAGAGATGCGGGGGGGGGCGTAGCGAGGGGCGGTGCAACACAGCGAGGCTCGGCGAGGCGGGTGGGAGAGACGGGGCGAGAGGTGGAGCAAGCGCGGCGTGCTCTCTCCAGGCTCTCTCCTTGAGGATGCAGTAGCCGCCACCGCACTGGTTCGAGAGGCCGAAGGCCGAGCTGGTGTTGAGCGCAAAGTAGGGCGAGGTGAGGACGAC